AGCAGATGGCTGATGAAAAAGCATTTCTTGGTGCAAGGCGGCGTGGGTTTATCAAGACAAAATAATGCCAAAGCAACCTGGTTGCCTTCTCTGATAGAGTTTAGTTGATAGTGGGAATGCAATAGGCATAGTGTAGTGTGACTTTTGCAAAGAATTCAGCAGACTCCTCTATGAGATTCTAGTAGAGAACATGGCAAGATGTGGACTGGTAATGACAGGAACAGAGAACAAATACACAATATCTAATCAGCCTATGTCAAAGGCTCCATGTCAGAGAAAGGGTTTTGTGGCCCAACATAGAGCTCCATTTTAGGAATTCTCTTGTTCAACAACTTTCTAAATAACTTGAATAAAAAGTTTAGAAAATACCGTCATCAAATTTTGATACACAAAAATGGAAGGATGGCTTAGAGCAGGGTTCCTCAGCCTTGGCAACTTAAGACGGGTGGACTTCAACTCCCAGAATTCCCCAGCCAGCAAGGCTGCCTGGGGAATTCTGGGAGTTGAAGTCCACCCATCTTAAAGTTGCCAAGGTTGAGGAACCCTGGCTTAGAGGACAATATCAAGATTCAGGTGGACCTTAACAAACTGAAACACTGGGCAGATGGTCAACAGGGCAAAGGCAAATTCCTTCCTTGGAGTAAGAAAAATGAAAGCCAGGAGTATAGGATGTTGTGGGGCAGGGAGGAATCACAAGGGCCTGGTTTCTTGGTGGATCGCAAGCTGAACATGAGCCAACAGTGTGATGCATGTCTAAATTTTAAAAACTGGTAAGTTCTCATCAGTAGATCTGAAAACCCCAGGGAGTAAAGAAAGGATAAAAGATTAGTGCTTGTAACTTTCTATTTTGGGGGGGGAAAGCATTACTGGGTAAAAAGCATTCAAGTCTTTTGGAACAGGCCTTGCTCTATGTATGTAAGGGTCCTGTTTCAGCCCTTCGGTGTTTCTCAAGCTTTGGGGTAAAGTTTTCCATTGGGAGTTTTCCAGTCTGCACCGCTGAGTTGCCCAGCATGACTCAGCTCTCATCAATTGGCATGCCCACAACCTCTGGGGTCAAACCTCTGGAAGAGGCCCAACATTAGTTTGGAAGCGTTACAACATGTCAATAAACCTGCATTGCCAACCACGGAGGAAGGTGCACAGGGAGAAGGATCTGATTTGCGGAGAAACAAGGAGTGTCCTTTGATGGAACCCGGCCAGATCACGCTAGTCGGGGCTGATTCCCCCAGTCTTGCTCATAAATTGCCACCAACTGCTCGGCAGGCAGGACCCCCCTTTGCTCCCTGCCATTCTCCCAACTTGGTGGAGACTTCCACACGCCGGCTGACTTCCAGCTCCCAGAAAGTCCCTCTTCTGCAGCCATGGAAAAGTACTTCCCCGCCATCCACAAGATGGAGCAGACGGTGATGTTCCCCAGCCTCCTCCGCGGGGTCTCCTTCGAAGAGCAAGAGGATGGCTTTGGGGCGGACTTGG